CATCCTGCTGGCTCTGATGGCACCAAATCATCTGAAACTAAAGTTAACGTCTCTTTCAGTTCGCTGTACTCCAATGAGCTCGCTCCATAGTTACCGACTCAGTAGAAATAAGCACCATGTGGGGAGAGCGGTAGGTTAGTATCATGAGAGTGCGGGGGATTTGGATCTTCTGAAATGTAACAAAACCTCTGTTTTATCTCCATGTCACTAATAGTGAACTTCTCTGAAGGAGGAAGAGGCTCTGGTTCTGCAGTTGCAAGGTGTAACTAATAAAGTGGCCATAGCTCTGTCTGTAATTTTGGTTTCATTGCAGCTTGACTTCTTTCCAGCACCTACTTCTCATGCAGTTATGGATCTATGAAGGCTGAAGTGATGTGTTTTAGTGGGATTACCTTCTTGGACACGTGGAAGGTTGGATTGGTCAATCTCCAGCTCTGCCATCTCTGCCCCCTGTTCTCACTCCTTCATGGTGTTATAGAACACCCTGACACATTACAGAGATTACACATTACACAAATATGCAGATCAGACTTAGAGCTATAGAGAAATTTGGTTTAAAACAAATATATCTAGATTACATGGCTACATGGCTGTTTAGAGGTTACTATTTGAAATAGTTGGATGATCTTGTCAGCAATGAGAAGCAAAACAGAAAGGATTATATAAAAGCAATTTAAATATAATCAGGTGACTGGCAATATTACAGGAGAAAACAGATATTTGTAAGATATAAACAACTATATCCGCGACGTAGCAAGTTTATAATAGAAAGAGGTCAATTATAAGCAACCTACCAGCTTCCAATTCGCTGCCCTCACAGGCTGCAGTGTCGTTTATATATTTATAAACACGCTGCTTATTCAATAAGTCCCAAACATAACTAAAACTGTCAACTTGTCCAGGCTCCGTCCAGTTTCAGTCCTTCTTCCGCTTTTCCTCTTCAGTGGATCTCAGGAAAATAAAGTGCGCTCTTGGCGCTGCGTCTGGCCGCCTCTAACGCACCAACTTTGGCTGTGAATCCTTCAGGATAGAGACGGAGCTTCACCCTGACACAGACAAAGAGCTGTTGGTTCGGTGACAGAAACCAGACGGAAGAAAAGTTGATCCAGCAGTGGGTCCGTGGGTTGTTCCTTCACAGCTCCTGTTGAGCTGCGTGGGCGGTCATTGAATGCTGCCTTCACGTACACACCTTCAGGCTCCGTCTTTTTACTTCCACAGCACCGGGTGATATTAGTGTGAAGCTTTCACACCTGATTAATAAAATACCCTGGAATATTAGAAACCTGCATATTTATAGAAATATTCAATTTAACCGTGGTGGCAAAATCAGGCTACTCTATTGAGACTATTGAAGCAAACACTGGAGGTAGGGTTTGTCTGGGCTGAATTATCTAAATAAATTGTTTTAATTTTTTTATATTTACTTTATGAGCCTTTAACAAAAACATTACATACATCTTCCAGTCCTCGTCATTTTATAGATTATTGATTACGTCTAATAGTTTGTTCAATCTTTTTTTTCCCCGCATGTTTATATTACAGGCAGAGGCGTAGCAAGAACATTTTTATAAGGGGGGCCAAGCAATAACCAATGTACAGGAAAATTAATGAGCAAAACATCCATATTCTCTAAATAAAGACAAACTATCCCTTAGAAAAAAATAGTTTATTAAAGTATACTAAAAGTGCACTAATTTCATACTTAAAACCAGGCAGTTCACTTAGAGTTTACTTATTTTATACTATTGTTTTCTTTATTGTTTTCTAAAGTATACTTTAAGTATACTTTAGTAAACTCAAAAATGTCCAAATTTAGTTTGAAGAAGTATTACTTTAGTAATACTTCAAGTACACTAAAAGTACATTGTTCAGTATACTTTCGAAACTTACACTTATACCTAAGTATTCTTAATAGAATTTACTTCAAGTATACTACTTTTTGCAAAGGGACATTTTGCCACAGTCTTTGCTAACAAATAGGTGAATATATTCAAACATCGTGCTTTCTAGATAAAAGGTATAGTAGATAAAAAATTTTCAGGTTTCAGTTTTGGGTGAACATCTTTTCCATTGTCACTACTTACATACCTTTATTAGTAATCATTCTGCATAAAATTGATATTTACAAGCAATAATATCTACATAAATTGATTATTTAATAACTTTTTATTAAAATAGTTATTTATTTCACTGAAGACTCCTAGATTACTTTTCTCTTTACCCCATAAAAAACAAAATTTATTTCTGCTTGAAATCTGTAATTATCATCTTTGATGTTAGTATATTGATGTGCATAATTAACCACAGTGTTATTGATTACAGGTCACGTGAGACAGGCCTGTACAGGTGAATCTCATCTGACAAAACTTATAAATATAAAACTTTTGAAAAATCAATCTTTGAAATGTTTTAATCATAAAGTTTATCAGTTAAAGAATGACATTTAGTTTAAAATAGAAATATGCAGATCAGACTCAGACCTATAGAGAAATTTGGTTTAAAACAAAGATATGCAGATTACATGGCTACAGTTGTATTTGCACCCTGGTTACTATTTTTTGATCATTTGGGGTCTATAAGGTATTAGACCACATTCGCGGTTTTAAACTTGGATATAAAAGGATGAGAAACAAACAGCTGATCAGTAAGATAATCAGTTCTTCCGCATTGGAACTACTGGATATTTACTTTAGTTTCCTAAATAAAATGTCGCCCTCTGGTGGTTACATTCAACAAGCTTTTGAGTTCAACAGATAATTAAGTCTGCAAATGGAAAAATACATGAATAAATACATATGATAATCCATATGAATACATTTAAATACATACGATAAATGATAAAATTGTCCTGGTGTTCAATACCAAATGTAAGCAAATACCAAAAGTTGTGATTTAACTAGTACACTGAGATCATTTTAGGTTGTGTTGTCAAATCTAACCATACAGTATTATTTCCCATTTAACATCTAATTTTTGATGGAAATTTGATCCTATTCCATTGTGATACCGACGAACAAAAAAAAAAGAAAAAAGAAAAGAAAGGGAAAAGCCTTGATTAATAATTATATATAAAAAGAAAATCTTTCTTTAGAAATCTGTCAAACCTTCCTGTGGGTTTTTTCTATGCAGAATTTATTTGTTAAACTGGAATAAATGTTATCCTTCTGTTGTATTGCTGTGAAAGCATTCTATCGCAGGCTAAACTTTAATTTGTAATATGCTTAGAGGGCTATGGATTTTTAACCACATTGGAGGGGCACAATAATTATAAAAGTATTTGCAAGCAGTTGTCAAAAACAATTAATTTTTTATAGGAAAAAAATTATTTCTATCTTGTGATTTTAACCATTGTTTCTGTCTATTTTTGTGATAACCTGCAGTCAAAATGGAAAATGGTTCTCATTTTCTAGAATTTTTCATACCTTCAGAAGTATAATACCTGCATATTTTTACTACTTAAAGATAACTAGCTATACTATACATGTTATCTTCAGCAGCTATAATATTTTATCTATCTATGCTGAAAGTGAAAGTGAATGTCATAATTTCAGTCATGGAACTCATTATTAGACCTTGTCTTTTTCCATTTTTTGTGCATGGTTCACTTCAGGCAATACATAGTTTGAACAAGAAATTGAGGAAATTAAGGTGGTCTAGTAAGGTGTTTTTCATGTATGAATTTTAATTAAATCTTTCTTAAGTCATCAAATCAACCTGCCCTAACAGTGCCACAGCAACTTAATTTATTTGCCTCAGAAAGAGTGTCTGATACCAAAATAGACAGGCACAAAATATAAGATAGATACAAAAAAGCAACAAACAAACAAGGACAACCCTATCATTGAAGGCATGTTTTTTTTTCTTTTTTCATATAAATCACTTGGGATTTTCTTGCACCTTTATAAAAAAAAACATGTCTTACACATGGCTGCCTTCATAGTATCATTTTAATCATTTTCTCTTTCAGCTCCTTCTACATTTATTATTCATTAGTAAACTGTTTTGCACAGGATCAAGCTTCATATATCAACAGTTTTAAGATAAATCTAAATTATTGCAACTAAAACTGAGAAATCAAAAAGTAGAGCTTTATTTATATTATTTAATTTAAAGGATTTAAGAACATTGAGGTTTTTTTTTCGATAAACAGTAGATTGTATGAGTGAGATGTTTTTTGTGAGAGTTGACATTTAACCAGCGAACAGTAATTATAGCACAACTGATGTGTAACTTTCCATAGTTACACATTATTATATGGGAGTTCAAAGGCGTAATTTGTGTCGCTGATAAATATTTCAAGCACAGGTGGGAAATGTAACTTTTAAATAGCTGCTTTTCAGATTTCTGATCACTAATAAAGCTTCTATTACACGATGCAGCCATATTGGATGGACTCATAAAATTTGGTTTGTTGCATGACTAAGAGGAGGGGGAAGCACAGAGCGAGCAGAACATCACCCTGCCTTACCGAGGATCTACATTTTGTCGATCAATCAATTTAATTCAGTGACCTGTGAAAAATTTCCTGCTGCTTTAAATTGATTTCAAATGTCAGACAGCTCATAGAAAAAGGCTTATGATCATTTAAGCCTGCCCTGAACCTCTGATGAAGTCATTACTTTGGTTTATTAGAATCTCTCTCTGCTTTGTATGCAATAAGATTTAGGCGAAGACAAGTTACATGACCTGAGAATTTAACAAAGTGGCAGCATAAAAATAGAAGTGATTGGTCTGCACTGTTTGTATGCCACCTGCTGCCCTCCAATGTTGTTGACGTGACAGTCTACCATCTTGCTTTAATAACATTTATAAACTCTGGAAAATTGGTTAATCAAACCAAAGAGCTGCTAAAAAAAGAACTGGTGCCTTGGAACACAGGCCAGTGCAATGTCTTTTTATTAAGCCCGTAATTCACCAGATTCTCCCTGCTGATTTACAGCATCGACAATGGATGGGACTCGGCTACTCTGCCTACTGCTGATGGCTGTTTCAATAAAAAAAAGGCGTGCACGTCTCAAAGTGGACTCCAACTCGAAGTACATAAAACAGCTGGGGCCGCTGAGCTTTTAGAAGTCTTCACCACAGGACCTTCGTGCAAATCAGAACTACTCCTCACAACAGCATCTGACAGTGATGAAGCGGAGCCATCTCTTCTCCTGGGCCATTGTGCTTGTTGCCTCTGGCCGCCTGCTGGCCCATCCCATCACAGAATCTGCTGAAATACCCTATTCAGTACCAGGTAAGAAGAAGAGAATATTATCTCTATTAGAGTTTTTACGAAAAATAATCCATCAATTAGGATATCGGTAATTAGTCCTTTCAGTCATACAATTTAATTTCTAGAGATTAATGATAGCACAGTCTTAACCTGGAGCCATAGAGTAATTACCTGAGTGCTGCAATGCTCAGCAGTGATTTTTCTGCTAAAGTTCATACAGAGGTTCTACTAGCTGGTGATAAATGTGGGTCTTTCTACTAATGTAGTTAAATGTCTGTTGGTTAGAGGTCAATGTAATAGTTTGTGAAAATTATATTTTTTAATATATTTAAGCCTCTTGTTTGATGTTTCCTTTAATTATTATTAAATAATACATATTTTTTTGGCTTCTGCATCAGTGGAGGATCGAGTTATCGGCACGTTGGATGACGACTCTCTTCCTGAGCAAACGTATTCCAGTTTTTTATCCGGGGAACTTACCAGAGATGGTAAGGAGTGCTTTTAAAACTTGTATAAGAGATGCAGAAATGTGAAAATCTAAACATTTCCTTTAAAGAAAAATATGTCTGGCAAGATAATTATAATTACAAGGCTTTGGATAACTTGAGTAGTTTTAAATCAGTTACGATTCTATTCCTCAGGTATCAGGACGAGTCTGCTGCCAAGAGGTCTCAAAAGAGAGGTGCGTAATTTTAAACATTTATTCCAAAAATACTAAAAAATTATCAGCTAAATTGCATTTTGCTCTGATTTTTTTTTTTGGCAGACCAACAAAAAGTGCAATAATATAAGGTGAAAGGAAAATGATACACGATACATAGAAATATTGGGTCAACCCAAAATTTGTAGATTTCCCTTCTTCCCTGTGCCAAATTTCAGAGTTACTCAGTTAGAATAGACGCATGGATTTGGCCAGTCAAACAAAGGTCTACACTTTGATCCTTAAAAAAACATTCTCTAATCATGGTGCTCCACCACCATCACTCCTCGTTGGGATCATGCGTTAGATTAGAAGAACATTGTACATTTTGTCAATTGAAAACATACCTTTCAAGTTTAAATTTGACTAAAACTTATGTTGAAACTAACATAGAAGGAATCTACTAAAGGCAATTGTTTTGGTTAAGTATTAGAGGGGCACGAATGCAAATACGAGCCACACGTTTGGAAATGTTATTCTAGCAAAAATTTTTAAAGCACTTATCCTTTTCTGTGCCCCTTACTAGTCTGCATCATTATGTCTTTATCTATCACATGAAATCTCTGTATAATATATGGACATTCCTGATGGATAAGTGATAAATATTAGGTATAAATACAACCCATTATGTTGTAATTGTGAATGAAAACTGTGATACGTCCATAAATTAGGCATGGTACTATTGGTATAAAACTATTATTTTCTTGCTTTCAGGTCTTACTGGACAAACAAAGTCTTTTGAAACCTTACAGCCATCTGCTGAGCATCCGGAAGCAGTTCAGGAAGAGAAATGGAAATTCTGAGTGTTTCTGGAAGTACTGTGTCTAGAAGCTAACATATAGCACCATGCATGCATTACAGTTGACTTTCAGCTATCACACTTACACTTTAATTTAGCCAATCTAAGCTTTTCAATTAATTTACTGGAGGATTTACTTCTAAACTTTTAAACTGTACATATTAAAACATAATTTTAGATGTAAAAATCAAATGTTATAAAGAATAAAAAAAAAAGTAAACATGACTGTTTGTTGTTGTGTAACACTTTGGGAAAATGACAATAAAAGTGAAGGACGAAGCAAAAACGGATAGGAAAATAGGATCTCAAGTTTTCTTCATTTTTTCCTTTTTTTTATTATTTTACAGCAGAAAGAATATAAAGCATTCAGAAAACATCTTCCATATTTTAAGGGCAATTCAAAATGTTTTGCATGGCTTCAGCAGCAGAAATCTCATTTTTTTAAACATATCCATTGAGTCAGTGACGCTTGTACATGCACAATTACAAAAATAAAACTTACAAACAAGAAAAGGGGAGAAAAAGGAGGAAAGCGTAACACATTAGGAGAACTGAGAGCAGATGGACATTTTTTAAGGGTGGGGAGCAGAGAAAACTTGGATCACATAACAGGGAAAGACAGAGAGAAAGACAGCTATAGAGGAGAGGAAAAGAGATCTAACACTAGTTCACATGCAAAGTGTCGAAGACCCAAGACTTTCTATCAAAGCAGGGCCTTTTTTTCTTCTCTTCAGTTTGAAATTGATGAAAACGTGCAATTCCGTAAAGGGTGCCATATAATTGCTGTCAATAAACTACTGAATGCTTGTCTTGCAATACTGGCATTTGCATAAAGAGTAAGTTAACAACACGTGTCCCCGTCATTTTAAACTTTGCTAGGCCTGTAGGGCTCCACAAATTAGTATCTTTATTGCTCCATTTCTACACGTGGATCATTCTGCAAAAGTGGTTTCTGTTCTGTTGCCCCAATGTGCCTACCTTTCTGTGGTTTGGGTGCTTTGGAAAAAAAGAAGAGGAGGAAAGGCAGATTCTCAGGTCAATTCGCAGAACATCTTAAAACTGATAAATGTTAAACAAGTGTGCCTATTGTCTCACTGAGAAATGGCAGTAAAAACAAGATTTATAGTTGCAGTTGTCATTGTATGACTTTAATTATTTAATACCCTCTAGATTTTGCGCTTATATAAATGAAAGACATAAAGAAGAATGCATCTTTTTAAGAAAACAAATCATTCAATTCAAAGAGCCGCATACGAATAGACTCTATTTCAGGTTTCCACCTATTTAAGGTCACTGAGAGGAAATTCATTTGATTAATTCACTTTCAGGATTTTTTTTTAAGGAAATCATTATTTCCATTTACTTTATTTAGTTTTTTTCAGCTTCTTCTGATGTAAAACATATGTCCTGCTATGTTTCCTCCTCCCCATTTTGGCACCCTGAGTAAAATACAAAAGGGAGGTTAACCAACACTAAATGCTTACGTTTCCATTTATCCTAAAAGTGAATTTGGTGGTACACTGACTCAGTAAAAATGAAGAATAAAAAGCAAAGGAAACATTTAAGAAACTTGTTGTGAAATATAACTGTGTCCTCAAGCTCACAAAAACATCAGTAGCTACAGAGTACTGATCATTGCCTTAATTTGCAGGTTCCCCCCTCCTTCAGTCACAGTCTCCCTTCTGTGATGCTCTAAACCAGCTGCTAACTGTTTTGCAAACATCATGTCTCCAACAAGTCTATCTGACCATCAGTCCAAAAAAAATAAGCATGCTATAGTTACAGCTCTGTCACCCAGTTAACTAGTTTACCATGCAAACATTAAAAATCCATCTCCCACTTTGTCCCCAAACATAGCATTGGCTATGCATTCTAACCACAAGCTAGATGATGAGCGCAAGGCAGCAAACCCTGATCATGGTGAAGCTAAAAAAGTCAAGCTGTTACAGTAGAAAATGGAAGAAGCAGGGAAAATGAAAATAAAGAAATAGCATGGACAGGCTGGAGAGCTCTAATTCTAATGTGCAGGGGAGTGAGTGTAATGGTACAATGTTGGTGATTGTGTCACATACTCCCTCAGGTACACTGATTGCATTCTGCAACTGGTGTTAAGAGGACATGAATAGGCACTTTCTACATAAACACTGCAAATAAGGTAAACGCACCAGGTGACTTGGAAAATAAAAATACAACATCCAGTCCATCCAGGACATAAAATCAAAGATATCTAGCTATCTACCTATCCTAAAAAAATAAATAAAAAATAAATACATACTTAAATAAATATATAAATAAATGAAAATCAGGTTTTCTGTGGCACTTGGCTGAATTTTCACATGTTTGGATACAGAGTACACTTTCTGGCAGAACTATTTCATGAAATAAGAATTAGACAGCAGCCAATAGGCACCCAAAAGTTCCTTTTTTTCTAAGCACCCCATGTTGTTTTGATATTGTCCAGTGTAAGATACACAACTGCTATAATTTACACACAATATTTTACAGTCATTTTAGCTTATTGACTTTTCATGGACATGTATGGGATCTTCCAGTGCTGCCCTAGTATTAAATGAGCACCTTCAACAGTTTATTTTGCAGGTGTGCATTCAGAAAAACACATTCATGTACCATTCACCACCGGTCATTCAACTCTAGTGTTTTTGTTGTGTCTTTTTTAATATATATATATATTTTTTTTATACAGTGGATCATACATTTTACAAACCAGTTAAAATGTCAGGGTGGAGTGACGTGAAAGATTTTGACCATGCTATATAATTTCTAATCTTTTCCCACCTCTAACGTGACTCATATCCAGTAACATTCAACTGAAAAACAACAAAATCTGACATCATGAGTAAAACAAGATCGAACACCTGGGTCTGAATCCTTGTAACCTTGAAATAACATACGATATGGGTTCTAGGTAATCGAATTAACCTAAAGTAAAGGACTTCTGTAACATTTTGGCTACCTTTGTCTTTTAGCAAAGGCCACGATTTGCAGAAAGGTAAAACAAAAAAAAGATTGAGATGTTCCCGTTGAAATGATCCCATTGTATAAATTTATCAAGTAGGGTAATATTAAAAATAATTCGTAGCATCTTACAGTGTTTTAAGTGTAGGCTGCCCATGCAATGCCAAGCTTGTTAGCAATGTTATACTGCAGCAATATAAGGGCGCTTTTAGCTATAGGTTTGGGATTTTCTGGATGTTATCTGCATCTTTAGCCCAAGCATGCATGGATTCTCTCCTGATACTCCAAATTCCTCCCACAAACTGTTAGGTTAGTTGATTACTCTTTATTTTGAATATCAGATAGATCATATTACAGCGGATCAGCTTTTTGCATGTTTTACTGGTTGCCTGATGATTTATTACTTCCAGTTATAAGAAGCATGTTATTAAAACCTAGAAGATTACTTTTCACCTAATCTGTCACTGGTATGAATAATTTGAGCACAGCTAAGTATAAAAAATGGCACAATGAGGGCAGTGATCAAAAAGGGAGGAACTGTAATTTCACTCTGATAGGTTTTTTCAAGGCTTCAAATAATCATGGGCCTCCAAGAGACCTACAGGAATATTGAATAAATTTATGGAATTTCAAACAGAAACCTGCTGACTTCTACATGCATAAAAGCTTAAATAGACCTTGAATCGATTCTCTTTATTTTTGGACTAAGGATTGTTAAACAATCTTTTCTTTCAAATAAAGCAGTCAGTCCTGGTTAAAATCTTCTTAAAACCCTCTGTAAGAATATTAGTACAGTATAATGAGAAGAACAAAAAGAATTTCTTTACCTGATTAACAAATTGTATGACTTGCACAAAAACAACCTTACACATCACTGAAAGTACAGTACAGTAAAAAGACTGGATGCCTTTTCTTAAGATTTCCTAGATGGAGCTCTGGCCTGAATCTGAAAGAATGGGCAAATATGAACTCAAATTGACTTTTGATTCTGTTTCAGCATTCAATTCGGCACAATGTGCATAATATTGAACATCGGAAATTATATTCATCATGGTCCCAATTTATTTTTAACATCACAGAGACCAAAATCACACTGCAGAATACCAGATATGATTTTGCCAAACATTACTGGAAAAAAAAAAAATCTTTTACACACATGCTATGCATCATGTCAATCCTAATAAATACTGCCATAATTTGATGAATGTCAATCTACGAGTTGTGAATCAAGGCTTGGTGGACCAGCTTGCACAGGTGAGATGATGAATTCTATCTGGTTGAGTGATAGGGAGCAATACCGCGAGGATTGGTTTTTGGGATCAAAATAAGCAAGGCTTCCATTTACAATCTTTAAGTTCGAACACGATACCGCAATAATCATCACATTCTTTTTTTAACTGATGAAAATGAAGTACATACGTATTTGATATGGTATATTAGGAGATGAACAAATGCTCTACATATACAGATGGCAGAAACGCATTAAACTTACTAAACTAAAAGGCCCTCCGTTTGAAAATGAGTCCCTTTGCAAGTTCTTGTTTCTTCAATCCTCAGCCAGTTGTGATATTATGGTTTTCATTCCTTAGAGTGTATTTCACTGTATGATTATCTGTTCTGCAAAAATGAACTTAAATAAATTCTTAAGCTTCATAGCAATCGTAAACCTTGGCACCGTTGGCAAAAGTTTCTTGGGAGCCTAAACTTAACAGATTATGAAAAAAAAATGAAAGTAACTATAGTGGGTTTAAGATAACTTTTAAAGACCTCTCCTAACACTAAATACATTATTTTTTTTTTACTTTTTCATATGCAATAATATCATGCTTTAGCAAAATGTTTGTCTCCGGAACAATCAAAATAAATTAAAATACTCTAATAGTGAAATAGTTTTTAATTTTACAGAGCATAGCCACTACTGCTTTAGTTTCCTCCCCCCTTTTAGCTCTGTTCATAATTTTCATGCACTTAGCTCATCTTTATCCCAGATATTTACACTATATACAAACAATAGAACCATACTTCTTCAGCATTCAAACAAAACTATACAAATATTCTGTTTTTGTCTTGTACCTGTTTTTGACCCATTTTTAATGAATAAAATAATATATTTCTAAAATACAATCCCTGTAAGGGAACATGTTTATTTTTCCCCCTACATACTTGCAGCCTTCTTTTATATACAGAAAATCACTCAATTGTCAAACAATATGGATTTGTCAAACCCCTATTTTGGGACAAACTTAGGGACCCCACAGGGAATCTCTAAGATGTCAAGGCAATGTATGTGATCTTCCCCTCTAAAGCCTGCAGAGGCTCCGGAGTTCAACTTAAAAGAACAATGATAACCTGCATGGCCAAACGGGTTACAACACAGAATAAGGAGGTGCTTTCCTCATGTAGAGAGACAAACATGAAACAAACAAGTTACCTGGGAGAACATAGAGATTAATTGCAGAAATAAGAATGGCTCTTATGAGGGTAGAAAAAAAAGGATAAACAGAAGAAAGACCAAAAGACTAGACTATAATCACACAAGCAAAGACTTTTTTTGTCTAGAAGTCATGCATTTTTTTCTTGGTAGGTTTTAACAACATATAGCCTGAAGATACAGCTCACCAATACATTAGACATGATGGAAGGAATACATTGGACAATATGAAACAAATTCAAGTAATAAAGGGACTATATATATACAATAAAGCATAGTATCTTTTTAAAAGAAAATGTTTTTAATCCCCAATCATCTTCAGTATGAATGTTTAAACCCCACTACATTCAATTGTAGCTCCACCCGGATGGGCAGACTGGACGGGTAGAGTAAAGCAGGACTGGAAAGAACGCTAAGCTATAACGGATATTGTTAAATCGCCAGCAGTGGGTTAAAATAGACATGTCAGTATGGTAAAAAAAATCTGTCTTTTAGTGATGTGTGGCCATAAAAAAACTAAAAAAATAAGATGAAATACAGTAAGAGCCCAGAGTGTTTCTGCATGGTCTCCTTGTCCTTTAAGATTTCCTGCAACAGCCCTAACTTTCATCTTTTGAGGTCCTCTTGTTTGACCGACCACCTGTCCTCCGTCATCTCTCATCGCTGTCCAAAACTTCTTCCTAGCTTAAAAAAACAAAACAAAACACAGAAAACCAGTCCATGGAAAAGTGCAAAAAATGCCATGAAGCCAATGTTCTGCACCCGTTGCCCCTGTTCTTTCAGTTTATAATTCTGCAGAAGTCCCCAAGTCAGTGGAAAGAATACACATGTTGAAAAAGAAAAATTGCTGTTGTACAATGTAATAGTAGTCGAACCTGTAACACTGCTTTAGTAGTAATAATAACAGCAGTGCTTGAACTGATGTTTTTCTTTTTTTTCCTTTTCTTGTTCTGTTCTCTTGTAAAATGTCTCAGGTACAAACAAAAAAGAAAAGAGGAAGCAGGGGGAGTGATGTCACATCGCAAGGGAGCTCTTCTGAGGCGTCTCATGTTCCCTGGCCTTTTTCAATTCTTTCACCCTGGAACACAGAGAGGGATTACGATAAATTAATGTAAGAGGTAAATAGAGAGAAAATAATCAGTAGACATCCATAGGTAAGTCAAACACCTGACTTGTAACTGAAAAAAACAGAAGCTCAGGTCATCAGGAGATACTTTCTTTCAGGGGAAAGAAAACCAGCAAACCCTTAAAAAGTAAAGATCATTGCTAAACTAACGTTTGAACTAAAACATAACCAAGAACGTAAGCTGTCTTTAAACGTCAGTTGACCACTCTTCTTCTTGCAATCATTCTTGTTATTTTGTAAATGCAGCCTATTGCTATAATTATTTTAAAGAAAAAAACAAACATATTCTATACCTCTTTTAATTCTTTCTTAAATTGTAAAGTTTCACGTTTATAACTGGGATCTAATGTGACTGAAAACACAAGAAGCATCTCTAAACAGCAGCATTTGTACTATTGGATTTGAACTGGATTAAGATACAGTATTATGCTGAAAGTGTTACTGTAGTTTTATTCAAACCATTAGAATTCAACTGTGTTATGTTGGGTCACTGCTCTCCTGGAAGGGGTAAAACTCTAGAATCAAATGTTTTTAAGCTACTAACAACTTTTCTTCAGGGATTTCAGTGTATTTAACTCTACCTGTCTTCCCCATCACTTTTAAGCATCTCTATTGTTTTCATTGTTCTTTATCATGCTTTTTGTTTACTATTATTCTAAACAAAAATTACCTCTGAGACCTTCACAGAGTGTCTGTATTTATAGTAATTAAATGACACACTAGCAGACTATCTAAAAAAAGAAAGGTTTTCACTTAGGCGACAGACAATTGCACTGGTTTTTAATTAGCTGTACCAGAGTAAAGGGGCATGAATGTAAATGCATACAATAATCATTTGTGGGGGTTTTTTTTGTGTGTGAAAAATGTGAACCATTTATCACTGTCTTTAAGCCACTACTTTATGTTAGTCCATCAAAAAAGTCAAAAAAAATACAGACTGTTACAAAAAAAAACTAAAGGGATATGAAGAAAGTTTTCTGAGTGCACAAGCAAAACACATTCAACCTAAGATAAATAACAAATGCACCTGTACCTCTCAATAAAAGCTAATAGAGTCTACCCTGCTTTATTATTCTTAACAAAAGATAAATGCCACAATACACTGAAGAAATGTGAGCTCGCACACCAACAGAAAATGGGATTTTGTTTGTGAAATCCTTGAAACATGTGATGTTTATTCTCCAACCCCTTTTATTATACTTTATAAAGAGTACCTTATAATGGAGCTGTCTTAATTTTGATAAATTTCAATGAACTGCTTGACAGAAAGCAGAAATTGAAGGGGTAACAGTTCCCCTCGCAGTCAGTCGAGTGGCTTCAAACAGAGCATACAGTCAGTCAGTCAGCCAGCCAGCCAGAGAGAGGACTACTAGAGAAACAGCAGGTTCATAGCATGCCTAAAAGTAGAAATGCAAGACCTATAGTTGTCACCACTTGACATGCAGAAGGATAAAACAGATTTAAGAAAAGGCTTCCTGTAACGTAAAACTTGCAATTTGCAAAAACACAGAAAGCTAAATTAAAAAAGAAAAGAAAACAAACAAATAAGAAAGTGCAAATTTTTGAGGAGAGAAAGACAGAAAAAAAGAGCATAAGGCAAGTCTCTGGTAGGTGTTGCAGTGACATTGTCATTCATAAGCATTTTGTTAGTTAGGGAAGGCTCTGATCTATGTCTGAGCCTCTCAGTCCACCTGTGGCTCCAGTCGGCAGCCTTCATGCAAGCAAGCATCAAGCAAAAGTGATGGGAAATGGAAAAGACTGGGAGGGAGAGAAAAGACCATAAGAGAGGATAAAAAGGGTAGACTTCCCAAGAAAAAACTTCAGAGGGAGATAAGAGTTTTATTAAAGAGCGAGAGTAAAACATAACAGATGTTTAGGAAGAAAAGGTTTTACAGAATAAACAGGTGAGAGATAGATAGAGAGAGACAGAGACAAAGAGCAAGAGAGGAAGGGAGTCACGAACTGAGTTGCTGAGGCTGCACTCACCCGCTTGAACAGTCTATGGTCCATCAAGGGGCTTGGCATAAACAGCAAAACAATACCAGACAGCTATTAGCACACAGTAAGCACTGTGAAGGAGGGGCGAGGACAGCTGAGGGCGGGAGGTGGAGCTTAGGGCTGGGGGTATTTCCTATTATTGTTCTCAAGAGGATAAAGAAATACTAAATCTAACACGCTAAGCAACAGAACAAAGAGATGGATAACATTATCCGGTTAGAGCAGCATACAGTGGGTGAAGGAACGCCACTGTGCAATATCACCAAAGTAGGAAATGATTGAAAGTTAAGTGATATTAGACAGGGGTGTACTTGCTGCTGTTTTGTACAGCTAATCAAACTGTGGCTTATTGATGATTTAAATTCAAACTTAATTCATAAGGCATGATCCAGTAAAAAGATGCTTTGTTTTTTTTTGGGTTTTTTTTGGTGCATGGAAAATAATTCATATTCTTTCAAGCATTTTCAGTTTGTCACCTTAAAACCACAAACTTCAATGCTTTTATTGGGACTTAAAGTGATAAAGACAAAGAAGCTCAGAAGTATAGTGGGAAATGAAAACAAGAATTTATAAAAAAATATAAAATATAGGTTTTTTTTTTTTTTTTTTTTACATAATTCACTGCCATGACATGATGCACAGGGGAGTTTTTGTCCAATCAGGTTAAATGGAAAGTAACCATGAAGACTTTTAAGTCTTGTGTCAGATTCTAAATTAGATCAAAATATTCGATTGGATTCTCTTAAGAAGAATTCAACTTTGCTGTTATTGTCACAAGTACAAAGCAATTAAATTAACTCTCTGCATTTAACCTGTCCCCTTGGGGAGCAATGGATGCCATTGTGCCAGTGTATATATACTATTGAGCAGTGTGGGGTAAAGGGTCTTGCTCAGGGACCCAGGCTGGCAGTCTATGGGAGTGGGGTTTGAACTCAGATCCTCTGGGACCCATGCACAATGCCCTAACCATTAGGCCACCACACCCTTTCTCTCTGTATGTCTGTGGTGATCCTCTACCCCATCTCAGGAATTTTGCTGCATCAACTTTTCTACCTGGATTTCTCCTGATTTAGCTTCATAATTATTTCCTTTTTTTCCATACTAAGATGATGAATGATGGGAAATGTATTGTGTTCCTCATCTCACAGGTAGCATGGCAAGAAGACAATTTAGTTTCATTTTTGTGTAAAAAAATAACCAAAGCTTCTTCATTTGTTTAGTCCCAATATTACTCGCTGCAAATTATAAACTTAACTTCTGATAGTTTTCCTTTAACAATCTACAGTCTACCTGCCACTGTCTTTAAAACTTGTCCAGTTGTTAACTGGATCTCAGCAACTCCTCCAGGTCTCTTGGCTGCTCTGGGTGAACATTAATGCCCTCCACAGACTCTGATACTTAGTCTTGTATCAGATAAAATCCCAATAAATACAGTGAAGATGATGTTTGTAGCTTGGTAAACTACGAAAGGATTCAAGTGGTATAAATATGTTTGAAAGGCACTTGATGCAGAGTGTAAGTTAGTGTTGGCTCGGTGTTTGGACCTACCTGTGGCGGCAGCGTCGTAGGAACCTCATAATCTTCCTGGCAGCCTGATCCTGCCTCTTCGTGAGCAGACTCCCTCTGTGAAACAGCCAAAACCCTAAAGTTAATTTATCCTTCGGCAAAAAAAAAGAAATCACAGGGTGTATTCTGAATCACAAAGTATTTAATAGGCCAACAGAGAACGAATCATCTCTCCAACTTATTTTGCTAATGATTTTCTTTTTGATAAATGACCCAAGACAACCAACATTTTTCAGTCCTGCAGACAAGCCTCCTAATTTAACTGTCACTTTATCAGTATGCAGCAAGATGAAGTAGTTCCTCCTTCAGCCTGCAGTCTCTACCAGAAGTAATTTATCCTATTATTTGGTCCAAATACCCCCTGTACTACGGTGTTTACCTAAGTTTGTGCTGTACCAGGGCAGCAGCGGCCCCACGGTGATGGGGCTTCAGCTTGCCAAACTCCTTGTAGCTGCGGTAGTATTGCTGAATTAGCACAGCCGCCCTCCTGCTCTGCTGGAACTTCTTCTGTTCGTGGTAGCTGCGAAATTTACTCTGGATAAGGATGGCGGCCTGCGTCATCTTCTTATAAAGTGCATACTGAGAACAAGAAAACATCAATATGTCATGTTGTTTTAGATGAAATTGCTTTGACTTCATGCTGGACAAGAACGTGACCAAAACATTTACCTTTAGGGCTATCCATGTTAGCTTGTAAATGGAAAAAAAGACACATTTCGAATGTTGCTCTATAAATGCCTTAAAGCAGGGAACTATTTTTGTGGTTATTGTTGACCTACCTGTTTGTATTTCTTGTAGCAACGTTGTATAACAGCAGCAGCTACTTCCTGTTGCTCTCGGAGCGGCCGTCCCTGTTGGGAAGTAGAATGGGACAGATAAAAAGTTACAATAGGAGTTCCTGACGGCCACAAGGGATACTTGTAGGTTGCTGAGGTGTTGTCAGGGTTAGCACATGAATCGGCCTCAGAAAAAGAAGCACCCTTTGTGGACAGACCACCTGTCAAACAGTGGAGGAAGTGAGCTGCTGCCCAACAGAGAGCCACTTCAGAATCAGCTGGCAGATGGGCTAAAGGCAACTGTGGACGACAGTGAACAGTTTGTGATAATTAAACTTATTGAAAGTATCTCAGAGGTGGGTAAGAAGTTCAGGAAGGGACTGGGCAATGAGAAAGAAGACAAAGACAAAGTGGGAGCTCATTTGCTTCATAGATGTGTCTAAGTAATGCAGGGATACGGGGTCAGTGCAGCTCCCCTAAGCAAGGCCATGCTCTGCTCAAGCCATCCTTCCCATGCTGGAACCACAGGGACATATTTGTGTTTTTTTGTCATAATAGTAGACATACAGAAAACTCGACAAATATTAAGAATAAAATTAATCAATTGAAACCATGATGAGAAACAGTAGGACACAAGACAAAGTAGGTAATAAGGCACATTACATATGCTGAACTTCAATCCATAGGCAGATTTAAGTGAATCCATCATCCCTATAATCCAAAGAACAGATCCGTCCAGTTATACCAGCCCTTAGCCTGTAGCTCTGAGTCTGGGCTACAGAATAGACAGCTTTCAGGGCCTGAACACCAGGACTGTACCTTGTACTTGCGGAAGGCAGTTTGGACCAATCGGGCAGCCTCGTAAAGCTCTCTCTGCTCCGGATCTGACAGAGTCAGCTGGGCCAGGTCTCGCTCCACTTTACTGTTGGAGGCGTTGATGAACTCACTCCAGTCAGACGGAGAAGGGACAGCAGACCTCTCCAATGGACCCTCTCTAAGCGGAGATCCCCGAGGACTCAGGTTAGGGTTAGATGATGGTGTCAGAGGTTCATTGTACAGAGATCTATCCAAAAAGTAAAAAAAAAAAAAAATCTTTTTTATATTTTCTTATTTACAAATGTTAATCACTGTTTGTAAAAGTGTATGAAAATATTCATTAAAGTTCTTGCAAACTTAACATAATAGTTTAAATGTAATACTGTGTGTTTCCAGCTTGAGATCTCATTGTTTTTACCTTTCTTATTACTCAGACATGAATTATTCAATAAGTATTTTGTTTCAGTTTAGCTTGCTGCATGTTTTCCTATAGAACTCCAGCCCATTGAAAAAAGTATTTGCACCCTCACAGATTTCTTCTATTTGCATTTGATGATCTGAAACCATACATAGACTGTCACAGAAATAGACAAGTTTAAAGAAATGCTGGGACGGCTTTTTAAAGACGTAATTCACACATAAAATGCCAGACAAACCGATTGAAAAAAGTTGTTGAGCAAAGGTTGTTTTGGGAAGTTGATGGGGTTATCATGATAAGAATACAGAAATACTTTATAATAAAGGAAATCCCATGGATCACATTTTCGTGACCTTGGTTGAATAACACATGGTTTACAGGGCTGAGTAATCCTTGTATAATCTGATCTCTGAACAGCAGCCATTATTTCTCTGTCCGGAAAAACCGGTGCTCATCACCGTTCTATCTCAGATTAGGAAGCGACAAAATGCTTTGTTCCAACTTCTGCTAGAAGCTGAGAGAAGGTGTTTTTTTTTAGCATCAAATCTACACAGTGACAACAACTCCTTTTTCAGCTTTAGATAATGCCTTAGTAAGGAAAATGTGGTTAAGACTGCAAGAGGTCTTGGACATTTTTTTTTTCATTATAAAAAAGAATCTAATTGGCATAAGTGAATTGATATCAAGCTATAATGCTATGAGGGGATGTCATGAAATTGGCTGTCGAAAGGTAAGCAGCTTTCTTTGGGGTGAAGAAAATATCACAAGAACTAATGTTTCATAACAAATAAGTACACCTTTGTGTAAAACGCCCAAATTTCAACATATAAATGCCTATAGCGGTTTTTGGAAGGCTTTAAAAATCTTGATATAGCACCTTTAAATTAAAGCATCATTTATACAAAAGCAATTTGTTTATTCGTGGATTTGATCTTTGTGAGGAATTAAATTCTGCTTGATAATCTGTAAAATTGATGTGGGACAAAAAAGCAGACATAGAGAACCTCTAAGATGACCTCTTAGGTAAACTAACTCTACATTCTACACTCTACTTTACTCTACTCTCTATGGCAAACAATTAATCCCATTCTGCCTCTTACTTTAACATTGATTTTCTTCCTTTAAGTTGTAGAGGAAAAAACTCCTTAAATTACATCAATAGAAATTGTGAAACAACAATACAGTTTTTTTATGGTGACTGTTTAGTTTTTGAAATTTTAACTAGTTTGTTCATGCAAGATGGGTAGATGAGATACAATCTAAAATTTAATGCATATATTCTTTGGTGGTCTTAACTTATCTACAAGATTGTATTGATTATACAATGGATGTAAGAAGTATGTAAACCTATGACAGGTTTCGGCAAAAAAGAAAAAAAAAATCTTGTTTAACTTAGTGTGAACTTTGTTGAGATCTGTCTTCCCTCCCCAATGGTCCTCCTTACCGTAGGTGTATGATGCTTGGCAGCTGTTCTACATCTCCCAGGTAGCTGGCTAGCCAGTTCATGGTGGTGCTGACTGCTGATGTGTCTAAGGGCCCAGAGTCTGCAGTGCTGAAGTTCTCCCTTTTGATTCTCTCTGGTGTTGCTTCAATGATCTGCTCTGCCAGAGTTATCATATTGACCTATTGTTTTAAGAAAAACAAAGGTGACTGATGTTATCACCTATGTGGTAAAACTATATCTGCATACAGTCTACTTATGCTTGCTTTTATAATGGTAAGGGCTTGAGACAAATATTAGGGAGTTATTGCAGGACACAAGATAACAATAACTGCTGCAGGCTAAAATACTTCATTGAGCACTTCATCTGTTGGAGCAGTAATTAGACAGATATGGATGCCTGGAAGGAATTTCTTGGCTGTTGAAGAAGATCAATAAGCCCAGTTTATTATGCAGTGATGGTCACTGACAGGGTGCCAAGCTGTTTTGTTGTAGATCACCTATCAAATAAAAGGCTCTGTTCTGCATACAGCCTCAACCTCTGATAGTAAACAATCCTTGCAGCAAATCAATTTACATCTGCACCTTTTCACTGTGTTTTCAAGAGGTTGACAAATATGTTGGCACCACGTATAAAGAATTATGATTTAAACTGCTGGAAATACAAGTCATTTGAATTAAATTTGAAAAAAGGAGTTTACATTTTTTTTTATGTTACAAAACCAACCTTGATTTTTACTCTTGTAATGGTTATATAGTAGATAGGGCCAAACATACTTGGGAGCTTCAACTTAAAAGCAAACTTGATGCTGCCCTTTATTATACTTGGCTAAATAAAGAAACTTTCTTTATAAAAAAGGTATCCATATAAAGATTTGCTGGTAGATTGAAAACTTGCGCTGATTATTAACTTTGTTAATACAGCAGACGTCTGGGAGATATGGGTTTAGTGTTAGAGCAGCAGCCCTGTTTACTTTCATCAAACAAACAAGTTAGATATCACTAACATGGAACCATGTCCAACAAACCCAGACAAACACTCATTAGTGACACCATACAAACTCACCAAAATTATAAAGGAGGGAAAAAAATCTTTACTTAGTTGGAGAACTGAAGACAAGAGCGGAATCTGGGGGGTCAATATGTTTCCATAACAAACATTGACAGCAACTATATCCCAAATGGAAGGCATTCCTGGAAAAATATCAATTCTTACCTTCAAAGATTGCTAAACTCTACTGGAGCTTAAACCGTGAGGTTATTGTCAGATGAGACTAAAATTACAATGTTCAGAAACAAACTTTCCAGCTAGATTTGGGATGGTAAAAAAGACATATCAGAGGGACGGTCAAAATAATGTTCTTGAGGTTTCACAAAATATTGAATAGAAACAGTTTTGCCACCAGACAAAACAATTATATCTTAACATGTTTTCTTAGAAATCAAATTGAAATTTAATTTCCTTGGAGGGTACTTTTTTACTTCTGCACTAAAATATGAAGTTTATTTGAAGGATTTTCAACCATTTCTATCTGAGGGTACAAACAAATATAGTTTGCACTGTCGATGTTTCATTTGCTGTACAAGGCTGCCAATCAAATCTGATATAAATCTATATTGAAGCTGACTGATCTCTTAAAATTGTGCCCCTGCTGTGCTAGAGCCAGTCACAAGACGATTGTTGAACACTTTTCCTGCTCACCTGCAGGTTATCCATCTGAGTGAGACAGTCCTGGTTTTCCAGATCCTCTCGATATGATAGAAGTTCTGAATCTGCCATTTCTCTGTCCGCCATAACCAGCATGCCAAGCTGCTCTCGCTGCCGTAGTCTGTTAACCAGTTTCTCTTTTCCTAGACTGGTGCCCCCACTGATCCCCACAGCCTTCTTCCCCAGGCTGCTGTGGGAGAAGTTCTCTCTGGACGTCCATCTGGTGGTCCCAGTGCTGCCTCCTGTTGGTAGACCTTTGTCTGCACTCAGGCCTTCTGAGGACACACTCTTTGTGATGGAGGACAGTTTATGGAGCTGTTGCTGCTCCAGGCTCAGAGGGACAGACATGGGCTTGTCGGGCCGATTGTGAAATAATTCAGGGTTGGGTTTATGTTTCTTAGCTAATGGGAGGTCTCTTTGGCCATCACTGCTGTAGCAGTTAGAAGGCTCTGATCTTGGCCTTCTTAAATCTGCAAAAAAAGAGTAGTGATAATATTAGCTGAACACTTTGACACCATCTTTCACTTACAGTAAAACTACAGTGTCTTGCAAAAGCACTTCTGCATGTTTTTCACCTTTTCTCACTGACCTCTCTGTATAAACTTAAATGTACATATCAATGTGACTTTGAGTGGCTTTGTTTGACCTTTTTAACACATAAGTGCTCTGACCACAACATTTTAGCTCCAGTTTTCTGTTTAGACTTATAATCCTGCTGACAACCAAAGGAAACCATAATCTGAAGTTATCTTTAACTGATTTGCCCTGTTATTAAACTAATTCTACATCTATTCTGACCAGCTTCTCTGTCCCTGAAAAAATAAAACATTCCCACAGCATACTGTTGCCATTATTGTGTTTATCCATGATGATTTCCTGTTGGGGAGAGTGATTGACATTCTCTGCATGTTTTTGATGTCCCCTCAATGACTTTTGACAAACTACAAATTACCCTTCTTTCCAATAATGGGTGTCTTCTTAACAGTATTCCCTAAAGACCTTTTGAGTTGTGAAACATTCTTTAACTTGAGCCCTTCCTCTTTTATTCCCTCCTTGGCTGGTCTATCACTTAATAGTGTTTGCTGTGAAGTTCTGCCATATTCTTTGCATTTTGGTTACAGTAGTTGACTAAAAAGAGATTAATGATATTCCTTCATATCCCAAGCCTGCAACATTATCTCTGATGTACATGGTGTGTGAGTAACAAACTTCTGCACCATTTACAGTTCAGCTTTATTTTTTCTGAGATTAACTCAGCACACATATGGAATGTACTAAGGAGGCTAAATCCCCAGTTCCATTGGATCAATTCTCTCATTCAGTGAATCAAGAAGATGCAACGTTACCCTATTCCACCGGGAACGTTAACAGACTTTGCGCTGGTGGACTCAGATCACATCAGGACTGCATTGCACTATAGTAAAGCCTTTAGGCTTTAAATATTACAACATCCCACTAAAGGCTTAATTTTGCCAGTACTGCCAACGTCTACCTGCTCTTACCTAATTACATCATCTTTTGTTTTATCTATCATAGATGAGTTCAAATATTTAGTTTTACATTTTTTCCCTCATATAATGCCTGTATTTATTATAATTGCGGATTAACAGTAGGAACAGAATTTTCTATTACATAAAAGTCCAGAAAATGCGATCCAAAATATGCACATGTAGTCTTTTACTTGTGAAATCAACCAGATTCACTTTGCTTTTCATTAACTGACTTCCTGGCCAAAAAATCTGATCTGCTTTAGATTGATGTGGAGTTGGTGCAGCAAGGGGCAAAAAGTAGAAAAGCTGTGTTTGGGATGCTTCAGATATGCAAAGCTGCAAACCGGGTGGAACCACTCTGACTGACTATAATTACTGCGATCTGCTGCGGCGGCCCAGTGAAGCCGCACCGCTGCAATGGAACCAATACATAAAGAGGCTAAAGCAGGATAAAATGAAAAATGTAAAGACTTTTTTAGATAAATGAAAGCATACATTTTTCTTTATTGTCCTTTCCCTCCACTATCATTTCTACCTAATCACATTCAATTTCAAACAAGCACATTGGTTTTTGTGGCAGTAATGTGTCAAAATAAATGTAAAAGAAGTTTATAGGGACAGAAAGAACTTCTGCAAGGCACTCTATTCGTCCCACACCTTCAGGTTACACAGTATTATGCAGTTTAGTTTATTAAACGAACCTGGATTGGTGCTGGTGGTGCTGGGTGTGGTTATTGTGTTAGCAGGGCCTCCTTTCTTGCCACTGGGTGCTACTATGCTGTCGTTTGCCCAGCTGACCATCCAGCTGTCGGAGGTGGGCGCATCAGGGGTGGGGGAGAAAGACATGCAAGTTGTGGCCGGCAGAGAGGCTGGTGGTTGCTGCTCTTCCCTCTGCAGTTGCTCAAGACACTCAGCCAGCTTGGTATGGCCTCGAGAACGAGCAATTGACAGAGGCAGACGACCCAAAGAATCTGGTATGGCAAGGGCCCTTCTGTCCCATTTATATAGGACTACTGCTGCCTCTAGATGACCAAGTGCACATGCCCACATCTAGATCGAAAACAGACAAATGAACAGCAACAAACAAGTTAGAATATTTGTGACTCATATCTTCTTATCAAATAGTTTTGGCTCTTACCAGAGGTGTGCATGAAAAGTGATCAACATTTAGAGGGTCCACTTCCAGCTCCAAGTCAATACTATCAGCATGTTTAGTACTGCATGAGAAACAGAAAACGATAAGCATCTTTAAAATGTATTACGGTGTAGCGTTTTGAGCAACCACAGTTCTGATTAAATATTTTGCTGTATAATATCATTCTCACCGCCACTTGATGAGTGTCTGGATGAGGGTGGCGTAGCCCTGGCCAGCAGCCAGGTGAAGGAGTGTCATCCCTCTGAAGGTCTTAGAGTGGATTAAATGTTTGGACTTGGCCCAGCAAGCTCTGCTCATCATCTTTTCACAGACCACTACAACACGACTCTCAAAGGAGCTGCTGGCCTGCATCTGGCCAGATGCACACTGAAAGAAGAAAAAAAAAGAACAGATATTATAAATTATTTTAAAACTTATGTTTCTATGGTTTTCAGTTTTAATCAATCAGTGATATAAACATACATCAAATGGGCATGATGTTCTCAGATGTACAATAATAATTTTCAAGCATTATGTGGCTTTTTACCTGTGACTGATTGTTGTTCCCTCCTCCACCCCCTCCTCCACTGCCTCCACCCGTTCCTCCCCCACCTCCACCTCCTGTTCCTCCTCCTGCTCCGCCACTCCCTGTACTGCTCGTCTGCTGCTGGCTGGCCATCTCTGCCATCCTCCTCTCCATCTGCTCCAAGCGCTCCAGGATTGACATTCTGAACTGGTTGTCTGGACAAAAAAGTGGGAAACAGAACAAGAATGTGTCAGCACACATATGTAGCATCAGTTGTATGAAAACAAAACAGTTGTTCCACATCGCCTGAAACCCAGAAAATGCCTTAATCCCACAAGAACAAATCATCAAACAGTATGTGCCATAAGTTACTGTATGTCGATATGAACTAAAACATCCTCAGGCTTACTATCTATTAAGGGACAAATACACAAGTCTGTTTTTCATCAGCAGCATAGCTGATTAAGCTACGTTATACTTTAAAACAACAAAAATATCATTTAATAAATAATTTGTATGAAAAATATGCATGAATCATAAACCTCTTCAAAGTAAAACCCTATTGCACGATTCGATTTGACCTTTCACCTACAAGAACTGCTTTTCTCCAGGCTACTTTGAATATCTCTTTTAGCCCATACAAAGCAACTTCTCATTTCCCTGGGTGATGTTGATTAACCAAAATGTTAGCATATCTGGTACTGTTGTCTTACGTCTGTATTGAAATGCTCCAAGGGACACAGGCAGTAAAAAAGCAGCTCCTAAATTCCAGGCGTCTCACCTGCAAGCCTCCGATATTAACAAAAACTCCAGCATACAGAACAGGTGTTAAGAAAAAATAAGAAGAAGTTTGATTTTAAGCTTCTTGTAGTTGCGATGACATGTCAATGCATAAGACAATGAAAATTTCCCCTACATGAAAAATCCTACTTATCAAATTTCACAAGATGGAATATCCATCCTTATACAGTCATTTTTGTTCTTTCACAGTTTAAAAAATGCACCTTACAAAAACAATAGGAGTCTAATTTTTATTGGACATCCCTTTCTGGTCTCTCAAAATGCTGGATTTGTTTGGATAAAAGGAGTGGGGGAATAAATGTCATAAAACCATTGACAGGGTCTTTTGAAAAATTTTAGTTTTTAATTAGTTCAGATAAAAATATTTTAAACATTCTACTTTCTAAACATACACAGTTAGTCTGTAAATCCTTTGTTAAAAAAAATAAAATAAAATATATATATATAAAATATATTACAGCCACCCATTAACAACCATCAGAGAGCCTGTAATCATTTCCCCATTTACACTACTCTTTTGAAACCGTGCCAAAGATAACCAGTTAACCAAGATAACTGTTGGGTGTAAATGGCACGCAAATTGAACCGGACTGTGCCAGACACAACCAAACTACGCTAGTACTATTTCAACAGTATTGCTCGGTGTGGTTCAGCTGCCATAAAACAGAAGAAGAAGAAGAACTGTAAACAACAATTGAAATCTTCTCAACACTACATTTTATAAAATGGCTTCAAAGGGGCATGGTGTGACCTGGGATGATGCTGAGACTGCCTTCTTCGTCTGACTCTCCGCAAACAAAGAAATATCACAATTATAAACAAACATAAGGAACCGGTCAGCACAGTAAACTGATCCAAGCTCAATCTGAACTAGAAGATCACCCATTTATTGCACTTGCAAGTATAATGCTAAATATACAAGGGTGGATTCTGACTAACATATAAATCTTCATAAAATATTGCACAAAATCCTTGCTTTTATAAGGGAATAATAACAGAAATAAGAAAGAATCTATTCATCACAGATTTTGATAGAATATGTGACTCATTGATTTTTGAACATTAGAATAATCTGACCTAGGTTAGTCACACTACATCTAATCTGTCATTTGCTAAACACTTTCAACATTAAACTTTTTTTCAGAGCAGTTAAACCACAGTACATGGATAGAATCTGAAAGACAGGAAAGACTTCAGACAAAACTCTAGCGATACCACCTTACTGAAGGTCTTTTCCAGCTCATTAAATAGACCCTATTATGGCCCTGCTCCCTGCACCTGTTTGGAAAAGAGATTAAGAAGCTGGCAGCCCAAAATAAATCAGAACCTATTCGACTATCCCAGGTCCTTGAGAAAACAGTCTTTTCACAAATTTAGATGGATGGAGGTGCAATTTCGGACAAATATAGGTCTGTGGCATTGAGAATGGTTTCATTGCCAAGGAACTGCCATCTGCTCCAGAAAAATTATAATAAATAGTAAACAGATGTTTAAAATAAAATAGGACCAACTGTTAATTTCTATATATTTAAAACATCTTCAGAACTAAGATTGATCTACCAGTCTTTTTTCCATGTTTATCCTTTAGCCTTTACAAAACCCATTAAGTCTTCTTGGCTGTATGAACTCTTCAGGTATACATTTGTTCATGCAAAGTAGCCACAAAGTTGATTTTAACCTCCCAGCAATTCTCCTTAAGCAACATTTTATATTATTCTGCCTTTGATGAGTTAAGATAAGGCTTAAAAAAATCATATGAGTCCTATGAAATAAATGTCTTTTTAATTAAGATTAAAAGGTCAAAAACCTGATTTAAGTGCTTCTTAAATTACTGACATGTATAGTAGGCAAGTAATGGCTTTAGCATCATAGTAAAAAAAAAAACTTCACCCAACAGGAGACAAAAGGCTATATTTAGCACTTAACTTCTTCAAGATGAAAACATAAGAAACATAAAAACAAAACAAACAAAAAGAATATACTGATGAGATGTTGAATTACTAATCAATTTTATAGAAATGTAGGTAAGTGCTGAAAAAATATCTTCTTGTATTATATTGTAAATGATGCATTCACTTACTCTGCACAGATAAAGACCCCTCACCTTTGCATTCTACATGCATGAAGTGAGAGCAGCCTGACCTACGTTCTGATAACTTTAGCAAATAACTATTTGAAAACATGGGGGATCACATACAAGATGAAATCTTTTTTATAAACATAAAAAGCTCAGGCAGACTTTAGAACATGCACTCCACAAAGAACATAAATATTTGTGTGTGGGGGAAATACAAAAATACAATGGATGTCGATTAACATAGAGACAATAAAAAAGTTAATTGTCATATTTATGAATGAAAGTTATTAGAACCTATGAACTTTGTATCTACTGCAGAATCTCAGATGTTTTTTTCAAAAGAATGCTTTGTCATATGTTTAAAATTCTAAAATATTTGTTTTAACTCTTCTAAAGCACTTCAGTCTTCTAGACTTTTCATATATCGCAGTCTCAGTAATCCAGGCCTCTTTAAATACTCAGGTATTTCACTTGAAAACATCTCAAACTAACTTACTAATGACATGCCTACCTGGAGTTATTTGTTTAGATACATAACATTTTTATCTTTTTTGACAAAATACTATGGCGATTAGTGGTTGCAGGACATTTTGCTGCTTTGAAAATTGGTAGGCTATAGTTGTAGGTATGATTTTTTGTTCCCAACCTTTTTGTTTAGAGAAAAGAGCTGTCTGTTATTGAGTATGTTGCCCAGATAAACTTTCAGTTTGTGTTGTTTGGCAGTTCATGTAAATTCCTACAGGTTTTGACTTTTAACAGGTTGCAAATAAATGTAAGGACCTGCAACAAATGCATGGTCTCTTTACAAAAAGAAATCACCTAAACAAAAATAAATAAAGGCAGTCATGAGCATGAGTGTGCATTTACACACACATAAGGTATGCCATGTACAGACAGTGGGTTGGGATGGGCAGTGAGAGCCCACTGCAGCAGGGAGTATAGAAGACTGCATTAGCATTCCCCATTTAGCTACTATGAGGCCGTTTCTGTGGCAACCTGCTGCTGAGTGGTAACTAGGCGACAGGAGCATGGCTGTGTGTGTATGCCCTGCCTGTGTGCTATTGGCTTATTGATGAAGGAGAGGAGAAGGACCCAGTACACAAGACAAAAATGTGGATAGACAATGAACATAAGCTAAAAATCTTTCCATGCATCCCATTCACTCAGTGGTGATGCCACAGGTAGGGACCTCTAACTCAATGTGGGGAGTCTTTACAGCACAACCCGTTGACATTTGCGCTTTATAGTATCTTGGCAGCCCTGGCTAAAGGCTCCATAGAGAGCTAATGTCACAGAGAGAGACACAGAAAAAGAGGTCAAGTAGCTTCTATCATTGGAAAAAAAGCATAATGCCACAGGCTAATAAACTGCTGGTCTCTGTGACAGTATGCTTCACTGTGAAAAATGGGCCATATACCTCACAATGTGGCCCCAGCCTTTAATTCCTCTGTTGGCTGTATACTACCTCAGTGACCAAACTGTCAGATTAGCAGATCATTTTCAAAACAAACAACAAACTGTTAAAAGTGTTTGTAGAGTGTCCCATTAGGCAAAATGTATCTTTATCCATCAACATATTGGCTTTTAGATGGTGTGGGGGGGGGTAAGAGTTGCCTCTGGTCTGAGTGCATCAGTTGAGAGTGGAGTCAAGAGGTTGAGGTACATGCCTTCATATAAGGTTGCGCTCTCACTTTGCTCTTGCCTGATATGTGAGAAGATGCACAAACACAGAGATAGAGGGAAAGAGTTGGGGATAGTAAGCAGTAGGCTGACATGTCTTTGTTCAGACCCAGTGCTGCAGTGTGCTGCAGTGCAGATGATGTCATCTCCACCTGCTGCCTGCTGCTCCAAATGCGATGCACGTCCACTGCAGAGGGAGGATGGGGTAGAGACGAGTGGGAGGAGACAGAGAAGGTGAACAGCCAAACAGTACTGTAAAAACACTGTGACGCAGTAAGGGCCCTCCCTCTCTATGGTTTACCCCTAATGAAAGTGTGTGGTTGCAGATGTGATCCTTGTCACACATTAGGGCCAGATTTTGACAACGTATTTTAAAACAGCGATGGCTGCAAAAACTAAAAAAAAGACAAAAACAATTCACTGTGAGAGGAGTTTAAAGTTTGCTTTTTAAGCCAGATACATTGAACAACAATTCAATGTAATCTTTAAATATTCATAAGTTTTAGGCTTTTTTATGACTTTTAAAGTAACTACAATTATTCAAAAGTACCTTAGGGATTTGAGTGATATCTGAATCAAAAATCACTTGTTAATGGCTATGTAATCGCATTATGGATTAAAATTTGAGGCAGGATTTTAGAAACACCAGAGATTGGA